AACCCAGCTGACATTTACTACAACACCATGGGCTTTAATTAATTTTCCAAGGTACGGCATATTCAATAAACCCCCTTAGGCTTGTAGCTCTCATTTGTCTAAAGCATATGCTATTAGCAATGAGTAAGTATTAGGCAAATCTATATTTACAAGCCGATGAGACTGTGGTTGCGTGGCAGAGAAGAAGCCAGCAGACTGAGATTTGAGATACTAATACACTCATACTAATACTATACCGCCAACGATGATTGACAAGATCCTCCTGTCAGTGTGAAGGATGCTGAGGATATTGATTCCTCTTCAGTTTGCTAAAGCTGGTTATGGCATCATTTGTTTCTCTAGGTTGTTCTTCTTCAGATCTGTCCTTCTCAGTGTATTATTGCAGATCCTCCCACACTGTACAGAACTGCAGATGTGAGTTTGATTCACAAGAATTCAGTGGACTATTTAATCCTATAATAGTGATGATGTAACCTACCTTTCCCTTCATGCCACCAGAAAGTGAATACCCTTTCTCATCGTATTGACGTCATCCAACAAAGACGTGAAGATCTGATCTATTTTAGGATCTGTGCCGTATTAAGCATTCAGGGAAATCTGAGGCAGTGAGAAATAGGCTACGTGTTGAAGTCCCCCTGTAGTCAATAATTTAATCTTTTAAAGCATATTTTTTGTCCTTGAAAAAAAATCTTCATGCCTTAAAATATCTTGAATGTAACTCGACACCCTTGCCTCATTTAGTATGCACGGTTCTATGAATATGCAAACGAGCCCCGCCCCCACTCACTCAGCTCACCACTGGTTGACGATCACACGTTGATCTGATTGGTTACAAGGTGGTTTGTGACGTCAGAAACACCAGCGATTTCAAATCGTGTTTTTAAGACTGTCTTTGGTTCACTGCAGTTTTAAGGAGGAAATACTCAGCAATGCTGTCCACGGTGTGTGTCTTAAAGCGGATTAAACACACATATGAATAACATTAAAAGCTTGGTTTCCTTAAATATGCATGTAAGTTTAAGTCAGGTTATATCTTGTATAATATATGCACACTCTGAACAGGTTAACCTTTAACAGGTTCTTTAGATTTATACTAAGAAATATATGGCTCTGAAAGAAAAGTTGCTATTTTAAGACCTGAACACTGAAAGCTTCTTTGGGGATCCAGACATGGTTCTTCTAACATCTCTGCTTTATTTTGAAGAGTATATTAAGACAGTGGAGTGAGAAGAAAAGTGCGCACTTACTGATAAATTGTAGCATATTTAGAGATGAGTTTAGCATGCAGAGAATGATGATGCATCCTGTGATGATGATGATAAAACTAGATTAAAGACGCATCTCTTTAGTCAAGCATTCACATAATGCTTACCTTCTAGTCCTCTGTTATGCCATACGGAACCGTTTGCCACTGAAACTGCTTAACGCACCAGTGGGGCTCGACAGCCTTTTAGACAAACGGGTCGGCGCGTATGGTTGGGTTGCGGAGAGTTCAGGTTACGGAGAGTTTTGTGAGTTATAACGGAAATCATTATGAACATCAGCTATGCTAATTATTTCCCATCTGCCTTTCTGCTGTTATCTCGGTACGCTTGTCCCGAGAAAAATGGCCTTCGTCAGGTCCAGTTTTGTATCCAGCCTCTCACGGGGATTTCGGATGCCCCAACGCCTGCGATGAGAGGACCAACGCCAGTGAAGAGACGACTCAACGCCTGCGATATGTTATGGCGCCGTTTTATTCATAAACAATATTTATATTTAATATTTATATTTAAACAATATGAATGTTAGCCAGAGGAGAACTGGCCCCCGACTGAGCCTGGGTTCTCCCAAGGTTTTTTCTCCATCCAATCTGATGGAGTTTGGTTCCTTGCCACTGTCGCCTCGCTTTTGGCTTGCTTTGAGCTTGCTCAGCTGGGGTTATTTAGTGTTTAGCAATGTTGTTGATCTGTGTTGTGCTACTTTCATGTTATCAGTGTGAAGCTGCTTTGATACAATCTGTATTGTGAAAAGCGCTATATAAATAAATGTGACTTGACTTGACTTGACATGATGGCCTGTTATTACAGTCGGCAAGACAAGTTTATTTATACAGCGCATTTCATACATTATGGCAATTCAAAGTGGGATTGACTCTCTTCTGCAGCCAGTCTCTAGTGGCCAGTGGATGAACTGCAGTTTAACTCGCTCGGTGTTGATTCGAGAGAGAGACGGGAAGGGTCAGCTTGGTGTCGAGTCAGGTGTGTCGGGGGAAATCTGTTACACTTCAAATCAACTTTTGTAATATTGGGATTCGCCTCACTGGTTAACCTATGGCTTCTAATAAATTAACTCTTTAACACAATTTTTTGACGTTCGCTTGGTTTTTGCATTCAAAAACACCAAAATGAATAAGTATAGGCTATTTTCTACCCTAGTTGAGAAACGCTGGGTTTTTATGGGTGTCTCGCACTGGACTCTAGGAAGTAAACGCCCACTGCTGTGAGTGGATAACAGTTTTGCATATTATAATGAGTTTCGACTCACCCGTCGGTGCACGTGGGGGAAATTGTTTTGAAAACGTTCAATGTTGTAAAATGGCGACCGGAGTGATTGGCCCATACATGTTGGACCCAGAGTCATTCCTGTCAGATCCAATATAGACGGCACAGCACCGTTCTTTACTCTTAATCGCTCTGCAAATCCAGTCTTGTTTACAAATCAATCCTGCAAATGAAGCGAACAGACGACGATGTTTTACCTCATCAGCTGAACGTCACTAAAAATAAAGTTTATTCATGCAGTCCTATTGGAATCCAGAGGAAGCTTATGCAGCGACTGTCTTCTTCCACAACCAGGCGCTGCACAATATTCTGTATCGCTCGGTAGCTCGATCCGATGTGTCATCACGAGGTAGGCATCTATGTTATTTAGCTATGCGTGTAATGCACGAATCTGTGGGCGGGGCTAAACCAGCCGTGTTGAAGTAGGCGTTGATCTTCATCTGTGGGGGTGGGGTTTTATCCTCTATGACGTCATAGTTCCCCACTTTTAAAAACTAGTCGTTTGCCGAGGCTGGTGTCAATAAAAGCTTTTATTGGACTAACAAGGACGTTTTCAGTTCTGAAACTTACAGGATATTCTTATAATATGATGACCTCTTAGATGTCAAAAGCTCAAGGAAATTTTGATTTCTCAGTTCATCACCCCTTTAAATCCCTATGGGAAAAATTAATGAAAGGAAATACTTCCGGAACCAGTGCCGCTGAGTAATGTGTGCTACTGAATAAAAAAGAAAGTCTCACCCTATATGTGTTACAGTCAGTAAAGCGTCTCTGCAATGCTTTACAAAAGTTACACTTGGTCTTGCTATCTTGGCAGCAAAGTTTTTGGCCTAATGTCATCGTTGTATTGAAAGTGTTTGCAATGAATAAAGCCTTTAGCCAGTGAAAGACATTTGAATATTTATCCAATCTGTGGCCCGTAGAAGTTATTGTGAAGGTCATCAGTAGTCGACGTGGGCTTCGTCTTATCTGCATGATGTGCAGCAGAGAGGGACTTATCAGACCAGGTATAAAATATTAATACTGAGAGCACTATAATAAATATCACAGATGCTGAGCATAATTTACATTTCTGCCAGCATCATCAGTCTGGAAAAAGCCTAATTATTTCTGCATGCACACGGCTCTGCTCAGAGGATCGTGTGTGGTGAGGAAGTCTTACGTTGAAATGCTTTACAGGAGTGGGGCTCAAACACACACTGAGTCTTGGGTCGACCCGTCACTGAGTGTCGAGGGTTTGCTTCTGTTTATATCCAGAGTCACTTCACTCGCTTCAGAGAAGCCGCTGGGTTAATTAGAAAAGAAATGATTTGCTGTCCATCAAAGCGTCACATATGCAGCTCACTAGCTTTCAGAGGGATCTGTATTCGTTCGTGACAGTGAGGCGTTAAACACGAGTCCATGAGACTGAAAACATGCACTGACCTGGTTTTTATCAAAAACACACACTTGTCCTGAAAACAAAGTTCAACATTGTGGTTAAAAAATACCTTCTTGGTATAATTGAACTAATAATTACAACAGCTCTGGCACACATGAGAAGGTCGAATTTGGTTTGGACAATGCACAAAAAATATTCCAATTTAAGAGGGTTTTAATCCATGCATGCACATTAATTATTAACATATATACACATATATTTACAGTTAAAATGTGTGTGTACAAACAATTAAAAAAAAAAAAAAACACCAAATAGTTCACGTTTTTCTTTTTAAAAAAATCAATTAAGTGCAACAGTGTGCAGTATACACTCTAAAAAATGCTGGGTTGTTTTAACCCAATTTTGGGTCAAATATGGACAAACCCAGCTGTTGGGTCAAATTTATAAATTGCATTTTTTAATCCAACATTTGGGTTTGTCCATATTTGACCCAAAATTGGGTTAAAACAACCCAGCATTTTTTAGAGTGTAGGCTATATTAAATTGTATATTTGGATTTTTCATATTAAGTTGTATTGCAATCTGTTTTTATTACACACACTCTAAAAAATGCTGGGTTGTTTTAACCCAACTTTGGGTCAAATATGGACTAACCCAGCCGTTGGGTTAAATTTTTACATTACATTTTTAACCCAACATTTCGGGTTTGTCCATATTTGACCCAAAATTGGGTTAAAACAACCCAGCATTTTTTAGAGTGCACATATAAGCGGAAACTCTGCACATTTTTTTAGCTTAAAATTTCTTCTTCTTCTTGACAGTCGCTGAGAACGATTTAGTTTGTTATATTTTTTTTTTTTTCCAAACACTGGTCTCAGTCTCACGCCTCCGTGCGCGCGAGCAACGGGGAGCGCGTGAGTGAGAGCCGCAGAGAGAGAGAGAGAGAGAGAGAGAGAGAGAGAGAGAGAGAGAGAGAGAGGAGAGAGAGAGAGAGAGAGAGAGAGAGAGAGAGAGAGAGAGAGAGAGAGAGAGAGAGAGAGAGAGAGAGAGAGAGAGAGAGAGAGAGAGAGAGAGAGAGAGAGAGAGAGAGCATCATTACTCCATCAACACCTCGCAGAGACAGTAGGAGAGTTACCGAGAGCGAGAGTTGCGGCATGTTTCCCGCTCGGCGTGTTCTCTCGGTTTCTGCTTAACGAGCTCAACATTTCTGGAGGACATTATCATAACCCAGCTCTTCTCAATGATGGGGACCTTACATGACAGTATTGGATTTGTGCTCTTTTCCTGTTTGTCCATTCAAGTTGGATTTTCTTTTGATGGTAAGAACATTTTACGCAATATCCTACAGCGTCATTAACTTTAAAATATCAACCATTATCAGCAGCAACTCAAATACGCTCTCACTATCACTATTGTGCAGTTAAAATGATTGATGCATACAGTATATTTGTGAGGTAATCTGTAAATAATAAGTGGCAAAAGTTGTGACGATGTCTGTGATGAGTGATAGAAAAATCAACTGTTGATATCTGGGATCTGTCGTCCTTCACACGAACCCTGAGCTCCAGTCCAGCGCGAAAGGTAGTAAAGGGTAATTCTGAAGGAACCGCACGCGCGACTTGCATGTCAAGTGGTGACGATCCGGTAAACGGACTGCGGCTGTTCAGCACCACGAACAGCTCCCGGTAAACCAGTTCAGCACCACGGACAGTTCCTGGTAAACCAGTTCAGCACCACGAACAGCTCCCGGTAAACCAGTTCAGCACCACGGACAGCTACCGTTAAACCAGTTCAACACCACGGGCAGCTACCGTTAAACCAGTTCAGCACCACGGACAGCTCCCGGTAAACCAGTTCAGCACCACGGACAGCTCCCGCTAAACCCGTGAGAGGAGCAGGAGTGCTTCATTTAATGCAGTGTGTGTAACAAAGAGGGGATCTGCTGTACGATACCCGACGATATTAGAGTCTGGAAGTATTCATTCAATTTCATCCAACCAGAAGATCTGACTATTTGCAAAAAAGAGCAAATATTGAAAAAAATATTTTTTTTATATATAAATAAAATACTTTTTAATGTTAACTTAGACATTTTAATGTTAATATATATATATATATATATATATATATATATATATATCAGCCCATTCTCACCCCCAAGGCGTCACTTAACTGACGCCTTGGGAAGCATTTGGACATGCTTCAATATCTGACGCTTTAGGCGCCCTTTAGCGTCAGTTAGATGACGCCCTAGGATCGCGTGTACCCTACCCCCACCCCACACCTAAACCTAACCGCGTCCTCTAACTGACGCTTTCCTTTAGCGTCAGTTAAATGACGCCGTAGGATCGCGTCATGTAAGTGACGCTAAAGGGCACCTAAAACGTCAAATATTGAAGCATGGTCAAAGGTGACGCCTTGGGGTGAGAATGCGTTGTATATATATATATATATATATATAGTGTGTGTGTGTGTGTGTGTGTCTGTGTGTGTTATATAAACATATTATTTTCATACTGTATCATTTATTATATTATTATTTGTATATATATATATATATATATATATATATATAATAAATTATCAAATATGAAATAACATTTTCATTCATGATTAAAAATAAAATCAAATAGACATTTACAAAATAGTTTATTACTATTTTATTGATTATTTTTGCTTATTTTATTACATATACATACACACATCTATAAGTGTTTAATTTCCACTTTGTGACTTCTAATGAAGTCAGAAGAGAAAAAACGATTTTAAAAATATTTTCATTAATTTTATTACAACACAATTTCAATAAAATATGATATAAAAATAGAAGAGTTCAGTATAATCACTGATAGTCTGTCTTGCTTTAATCTCAGGTTGACTTGCTCCGTCTCTCTTGCAGGAAAATTTACAGATTTCCCCTCCAACATCACAGCCAGGGAAGGGCAGAACATCGAGATGGCATGTGCCTTTCAAAGTGGGATGTCCTCGGTTTACTTGGAGATCCAGTGGTGGTTTAGACGCGCTCCAGAGGAACTGATGACGAGCGAGGAGGACGAGGATGACGTCGAGGTAAGGACATTTTGTGCACGGGTTTAACGAAGGGTTAACGTCACTCCAGCCTCCAGGAGACATATCCTCAGCCGTCTCCACATGTTGCAGGAATTTCTCCTCCGACAGCATCACTTTTATCAGCCTCTGCACTTTTGATTGATGGGATATACTGTTGTTGATGTGTCTGTGTGTGTGTTTGTGTTTCTCTTCTGCTGTGATCGATTAGCTGCACTTGAGCTCCGTCTGAAAGGCAGATCCTGCAGTATTCCTGTTCTTCCTCCACGTCAAAACACAGCACACAATACACGTCAGGCTGATCATGGGTGTCGCTCAGGGATGTTGTGTTGCGTGCAGGAGCTGATTCACGCTCGCTCCATGATTCACAGTGAGTTCGAGACTCCTCAGGCTGTCAGATCCGCAGTGTGACACTCGTATGAAGGACAAAACACACACGAGAACGACATCCGAGTTGTTTGCATTCATCCTGTCTGTGTGACGACATGTTTAACGACAAAATGTTTGCGAGCGATGTGAGTCACGGCTGGCGTTCACATGTTCTGGAGGTGGAGACGTGTCTGGGCTTGAACACAGTATAGTTCGCTGTTTTTAAACTTCCTGTTTGGTAAGTGAAGTGAAGTTTGTTCCTGCTCAGATTTAACCCTGTCGTGCACATGTGGTGGAGGCTTTGATCAGTTTGTGCTGTGGAGGATTGAAGCACATGTGGAGCGATGGACGGGGACGTCACTCAGATGTGTAACGTCAGGCGTTCGGCTGTGATACGACGAGATATGGATATATATATATATATATATATATTCAGACACCTTCATCATTTCTCACATCATCACAGGTTATTCGCTGGAGTTTAGACAAACATGAGCAGATCTCAGGTCTTAGATTTGACTGGTTTTGTCCGTCACACATGAGTTATGTTGATTATCTGTTCAATTGAACTACACAATTAGATAATACCAGTTTAGCTCAAGCAATGCTTCATGTTGTTCAGTGTGTGTGTGAAAAGAGCATTAGCGGTTACAGAAAACACACTTCAGCAGAACATCATCAGCTCAAATCATTTTTAGTCCCACATGTGTATAATTTTGTGTGTAATATGTTTATTTTGCTCTCCTCACTCACAGAAATGAACTAATATGACGTCACTAGAGAGCTTTCCAAATTTACGGATTACGGTTTTCACTGCTTACAGTTTTTTCCAATTGCTAACACACTAAAATGAATGACATGCACAGCACAATCATTTAAACAGACACACAGAGAGCAAAACTTCTTCAAAAGTCTAAACACATTTTCATTTTGCATTTCAAAATGCCCCTTTTTAAATGCACTGAACACAGTTCTCTGCATAACACACAGCAATCTGACATTAAGTCACATGTTTGCCATTTCTAAACACTACCATGGCAGTGAGCTAATTGGCCGATTACATGTGCACGATAAAAAGCACGATAAAAACTATAAAACTATAAAAAATTGTTTTTCTTGCCACTTTTTTTTCCTGTAATATTTTTCAGTTTACTGTTTTTTGTAAGTAATTTTTTTTTCAGTCCCATGTAAATATTTCTGTTACACTGACTTGTTTACAGTAGTGAAAAAATACATTACTGTAAAATGAAGTTTCAACAGCATGTGTGTGTCTGCAAATGAACAATCTGATACATATTTTAGTATTATGGCAAAGCATACTAAAGATATGAGTGCCTTTCATTATGCCCAACAGTGTGGAGTTGTTTAGGCAAAAATCTGGTAATATGAATGAAGTGTGTGCCAGTTCATGCAAAAGTTTGATTTTGATAATGTGTAGTTTCGGTTGCAGTGCTTCATTTTGCCGGATATATGAGGTATTTTGCAGTTTGGGTGTGTGGTTTTGTGAATTGTGTTAAGTATTTTAATAAAACCAGACTAGTTTGCAAAATTGTGTGTTAGCAATTGGAAAAAAACTGTAAACACATTTTCAAAACTTTACACACAAATCCAAGAATTGCACACACACACACACACAACGCCTCTTGAAATGAATCACTGCATTCAGAATATCACACACATCTCAAAAGCTCTTACGTTGCAAACACCTTTGCCATAATATTGTATTTTTGGATATATCATATACAGTTATTCAAAACCCAAAGCTCTTCTTTCACGAGATCCTAAGATTGAAAGAGGCCGAAAACTCCCAGTAAACACGAAAGCAAACTATTATTCTGTTTTACTGTAAGCATTTGTGGTTGTGAATACAGTATTAAAGTCGGGAAAACCCATAACTCGACCTTTGACCTTTTATACGCCTATTCTAAAGCCACGATTGGCTGGTGTTCAGTAAAACAACGAGTGTGTGTGAGTGTTTGAAATAGATTGTTGTCTTGTGTGTTTGCAAAAAGTGCCAATAATGAGTGTATGTTTTTGCAGATTTGGAGTGTGTTTCTGATGTCATAAGTTGTGTGACGAGTGTCATCAGTTGAACAGAAGTGTGTTGTGTTGAATGGACTAGCGCGGGTTCTCTGTAATGATGCATAAGGACGGGTCTCGCTGTCGTCTATAGTCTCAAATTGGATAAATGGTTGCTGTTAGCGTTCGGATGCTCATTTCTGATGTCCCGACGCAAGGCGAGAGGTCATTTATCAAAAGAGCCTCGGCACACATAACATGCAAATGATAATGCGATTCCCAATGCAAAGATGTACTTTATTTGCATACTTATGAAGCCTCTGGGCTCACCCGCCGATGGTCTCGTGTGAATTGGCCGGCTTTATTGTTTTGTTATATACGACTCAGGGAAGTTTATTAATCCACATATTCAGAAGGAGATCAAGACGTTGGGTTGACTGACATCGCTGACATTTCTAGATGAGCGCTTTACACCTTTGCACTGAATGTGAACGCGGGGAAAATTAGAGACTGTCATCAAACAGCATGTTTTTATCATCACTGCTCTTTTGTGCGATGATGACTAGTCGTGCAAAACCTCCAATCATGCAATTACGGCTGTTCTTCACTCATTCAGAGGGGATTGTTCGTTTCAGGTCTAAAACAATTGATTTAGAGAATGCATGATAGAGTTTATTACCTCACACGTGTGTGTGTTACCAGTCACCAAATGCATTATGGTAATCATAAGAATCAAACTGTGTGAAATAATTAGTCTTTCATGCAAGCTCTGGGTATAAACACAAAAGGTTCTCTTCTAAACTGATTGTGTGTTAAAATATAGCATGTGTCGCTTAGCTTTTCTTGATCTGTCTTAGACTTGGATTTCTTAAAGGATGCATTTCCGTGGAGATCCGTCAGCATTATCGTAACATGCAGGTTTGTTGGCTGTGAGACAGATGGAGGAGTGTGTTTCTTCTTCATGACTCACGGGCCCGTGTTATATATCATATGCATGCCGATCCTGAAGGCCTGGATTGCTGTGCTTTAGCTCAGATCTCACACACTTGCCAGATGTAATCCAGATATATAGCAGTTCAAAGGGAATGGGAGAAGTATTATTGCATACTAATGTTCAGTGGCTGGGCCACATTCACCACTCAACGGTTTTACCAGTGGTGGAGGAAGTACTGAATCTCAGTACTTAAGTAAAAGTACAAATACCCAGATAAATATTTACTTTAGTAAAAGTAGAAGTAACACAATGACAACCATACTTAAGTAAAAAGTAAAAAGTACTTTATTTTAAATGTACTTTAAGTATTAAAAGTAAAAGTACTTGCATAACAATTTATCATCTTAATGTCTTTTTTCTAATGATTAATAAAACATTTAATTCTAACTCATTCAAATAGCCTACTCCTATAATGATGTTCAATAATGATGGAAAAAAATGTCACCATTTCTGAAACAAGCTTGCAATTAGGCAATATACACATCATGCTTATCCTTACTATATAATAACTATGTTTGGCAGTAAACGAGATTAATTTATGGTGTAATTATGAACCTCTTGGCTTGCCATAATCCTAACCAAACCAAACATATACTACACACGGTGTGTTTCCTATGCACGTAAAAACTAATTTTCGCGTATGAGTTGCATGATAAACACACTGCGTGTGAGACGCATTTAGTGTGACCGGGTTGATATACTGTATCTATGGCAACCAAACGTCACTGGTGAGACAAACGTGCAACGAACGGACGGTCAGATTACGTTTTGGCAGAGGAAAAACTGAACAGAAAATGTAACGAAAATGTAACAGAAGTTGTAGAAATGTAGTGGAGTAGAAAGTATAATAATTGCTGCAAAATGTAACGAAGTAAAAGTAAAAAGTAGGCACTATTTATTGTACTTAAGTAAAGTAAAGATACGTGAAAAATGTACTTAAGTAAAGTAACGAAGTATTTGTACTTCGTTACATTCCACCACTGGGTTTTACAAATAAAGACTGTGAAGATATGTATAATATTTCTATTTAAATAAAATGCATCACCAATAATAATCATTAATGTCTCTTGATCATCAGATCCTCATATTAGAGTGATTTGTGAAGGATCGTGTGACACCAAAGATGATGAATTCAGCTTTGATCACAGGAATAAATTATGTAATATTTCACATTATTATGTGATGATACTCAGGCGTAAAAGAAGCAGAAACAAGCGATAGAAGCATCCCTGGAAAATAATGTGCTCATCAACATTAAACCGTATATAAATCAAATCTGCCGAATGTCTCTGAATGAAATGTGGACGAGGACGAGCTCCAGGACTGAGAGGATTTGAGACGTGGATGAACTCGATCTGTGTTTTATCATCGTTCTGAATATGATCCGGACAGAGTTTTTGCTCAAATGTTGCATTTTAAACTTCCTCACATTCAAGAGCTGATAATCAAAGAAAGCTTGAAGCAAGAGTAACATGTTTTTGTTTTGTCAGGCTCTGTACTTATATATATATATATATATATACAGTGTTGGGTAAGTTACTCTAAAAAAGTAATTAATTACTAGTTACTAATAACCTCTTCAACAGTGTAATTAGATTACTGTACTAATTACTCTCTCTAA